AAGTTCAGCTCAAAGTGAAGGATTTGAATGAGTTCACGCCGGAATTCGAGCACAAACAGTACGATGTGTCGATATCCGAAAATGCAGCGCCCGGGAGTACCATCGTCAAAGTTGAAGCCAATGACGCCGATAAGACCGAAGGCACACACCTCCTCTACAAAGTTGTGGGAGGTAAGCCATATCAAAAATTCAATCAAAAAAAGTCTACCAAAAATTTGTTGAAACCTGGAAATTAACAGGTCGACCTGGAGAAAATATTGAGAGCGTCAACGGAAAGCATTCAGAATAGCTGGCGTTGGTCAACCCTTCAAAATACGCTGCGCATTCAGCTACCGTCCATAATCGAAGGGGATTTCGTAGACACACCACATGTACTTATTTGTACTTGTTTTTGCGCAATAAAGGGCGCTCTCATCTCTCTTGTGAGCCTTGAAACTCCTTAAGCCCTTAGCCAACCTAGAAAGTCGTAAGGTTACCGCTAGGAACAAATTCAAGCTGAGGCAACCGGCGATTCAGATCAGCTCGCTTCTTCCGGGTGACTTAAAGGCAATGATCACGATGGCTGGAAGGTGGTGCGGTTTCAATAACGTCAAAGAGCGTCGCTGAAGGGCTAAACCTCTCAGCACGCTGGTGGGTGGTGGATGTGCTTGGGACCGCCTCTTCGCCCTTCCACCATTGATATCATCAAAGCAACAACGCCTTCTAGCCGTTGTTATCACTGCTTTTAAGGCACATTCCGCGATTTTCGTTGCAGCCAACCCTTTCGTGACTGCGTCCGCAACCAGGGGAATAGGATTACTTCCAAAAACGCATGGGAAGAGCGCCAGGGGATTAGGACTCCCATCCATTCCCACCTCATGCCTCTGTGCACGACCACCCAAGCGAACAGGTTAAGGTCTACGTCTCCCTTGTACCGTGGGCTCTCTTGCCTCTTAGATTGTTCTATCACCTCGGAGTAACTTTAGGACCTCATGCTCGATTCCCTGCTGGTAGGTTGGTGGCGGCGCAACAGTCGTTGTTTGACTAAACGTTCGGCTCAGTCGACAAGCTTTTAGTTACTCCAGGGCCATTGGAATAGAAAGCAGAAACCTGGACAAGGGTAGCCTCAATTATCCTTTGTAATCAACAAGTGCTATTCAAGTAGTCCATAATGATGCATCAAAAGGGTCAAATAAATGACCCATGTCAAAGAGGTTGACCGTTAAAGAGTGCACTGTTATTTTGTGAAGCAGACGTTAGCCTCTAAAAAATCATATTTCTAGGCTCCGGTCGCGACTTGGTATTCATTCAAGAAGATGGCACACTTATTCTCGGTGACACTCCTCTGAATCGCGAAGCAATGCCGCGTTTTGATGTGGTGGTAGAGGCGATCGACAGAAGCGGTAACAAGGTTGGTTGCAGAAGTTTTGCTTGGCGTGAGGGTGTTGCACAGTCGTAGAGCATTTCAGGATACCACAACGGTTGTCGTCTCCGTAGGCGACGTTAACGATAACGCTCCTGTTTTTCCGACGCCGTCGTTCACATGGAATGTCACTGAAGGTTCAGTTAATCTTATCGGTTTCTACAGCACTTGTGTAAGCGGTACTTCAGGACTAACTAACTCATCACTCGACGTCACTGCTACGGACAGCGACACTGGTGCCAACGGGGAATTAGAATACCGTATTGTGCACGGGAATATTGGTGGCTATTTTACCATTGATATGACGCCTGACAATCGGGTTTGTTCGATAGATTTGGTATTCCTTACTTTCTACTTAAAACAGCCATTGAATAATTGCCCAAAAACTGCCTAATATAATACTTTGATCTATACTGGGACAAGGCGAACAGCTCGGTCCGGCCGTTTGAGATGAGGCGAACATCGTTGCATTCTTCTTTAGACGCTTTTCTTTAGACGACGAAAAATGCACTCCGTGTCTGCTAGACCATTCTATGCACGGTTGCAAGAGCGATAAGGAGGCAGTTCCGGACAGCTCTTTGGATCAGCTCCACATGAGTTCTCTTCGCAAAAAATGGCTGGAGCAGGAGTTCAAACTCTACGTTTGTACGCATAACAACGGAGGGGGGTCGTACCTGGTTGAGTCTGGAGCGCATGGAGGGGTCGTACCAATATAAAGTTGTCACTGTGTGGCGATTGAAACGAAGATTCGTGGGTAGTAGGTTGGGTGGAAAAAAATGGGTTGAAATGGTGGAAATAGAAGGAAATTTTCGGAGATAGAGATATTTACCGTTTCAGAGTGACTATATACCCCGCTCGACGGCATTTTTGGAGGAAAAAGTGGGCGGGGTTTTGATGGAAGATGGAGATGGTGGAGGTAGGGAAAAGGGGGTCGTATCAAATCCACGTTGGGGGAGGGGGGTCGTAAAATTTTTCGAAAAGTAACAACGATAGGACAGACCCTGACTGTAGGGCTATCGGCGTATCGAAATGCATCGATGCTTGCAGTAGACGCGTTGCTGTATTACAAGAAGCTCTCAACAGGGTCACAGAGAACGTTTCAGGACTTCAGGGAAAACTATCTCTTTGCGCAGTTAAATTGAGTTAGGCACGCCAAGGCAGGGCTGCAGATTCCTATTGTGACGCGACGACTCAACCAAGTCTGAGACGCTAAAGCCTAAGAATCTCACAAATCTTGCGCCCAACCACGGGCCCGAATGTGAATTGGCTCAGCAGTATTGAACGGGTTATCTTCATTATTGACGGCGGATTTTCCTCTTTTTTCACTTCTGGCGTTCAACTCTCCATCTCCACACAAAAATCACCATCACGTTAAGGCTGGTGTTAGAGTCCGCGACCGTCGCGCGAATCGCACGACGGATCACAGAAATCACAAATCCCTCAATCAATACTCTAAGGTGCTCGCCAAACCCGCCGCTATTTCTGCTTGATGGTGATGGTTGAATGACGGCGATTATGATTTTACTTGTTTCATATTCGGCCTTTCAAATGTCCAAATGAGTCACTTGCGATTCAAGCGATTTGCGCGATTCGCGCGAATCGCGCGATCCATCGCGGACTCTGACACCAGCCTGACACATCAATTTGGTTCCAAGCTTTGCTTTAAAGGTACTTTTAAAGGGAATATGATGAGCTGAGATAGTATCCTAAACTGAACACAAACTATAGTCCCCTACGAAGCATCCTTCATCAAAAGGAGAAGCTGTAGTTCATTATCTCTTATATCAGTCGCCGACGACTGGACGCACCTGTTGACCTTTCCAAGTTAGTCCAGCTTGAAATGCAGGAGACACGAAGGAATGCGAATTGTAGGCGCTTCTCAAAACGGCGTTGCCGTTGGATTTCGAACTTCGTAAAACCTTCCAACTCATTATCGAAGCCAAAGATCGTGGTGTTCCACCACATGCAGCGACCGCCACAGTCACCGTGAATGTGTTCAACATCAACGACAGTCCACCAATCTTTCAACGAGTGAATTATGAGCAGGAGGTTTGTGTTGAGTTACAAGGAGCTATCACGTCAATCTCCTAAACCTTCGTGAGGTATCAAGGCTGATTTCCGGTCGGTTATCCCAACTCCTCACAATTGCACGCCATGACGCTGACCATGGACCGATGTCGTACTCGCTCATGCGCATGCGCGCCTGCTCTTCATTGGCTATCGACCCTCTGGGAGTTGTATCATTCACGTCACCGATTCGAAGCGCAAACCTGGTTTGATCACCTGTATCGTCTCGGTCACCGACGGAGTCTTTACAGCAAATGCTACACTTCGACTAAACGTCTTCAGCGGCGGTCAGCCAACAAAGTAGGTTGCTCTGCAAATACTATTTGCATTACATTAGATCATATAATTCCCGAAAATGTGCAGATGCCAGAAAATATCAAGAGTAACTCTGGAAAAAAAGTGAAGGCGCTAGACCGTTGATCTTGCTGTGATTCAAAAGTTTCTTGCCTTAAAGGCAAGAATCAGGATTAAATTGATGGGTTGATTCCACTCAAATGTGAAAGTAGGGATGGGAGGTGGACCGCCAGTGGAGAAAAAAGGAAAGAAAATCCTGAAATACACAGGAAATACGAGCATTTTGCTCCATGCTGTGGAGAAGTTCAAAAGACAGGGAGGGAGATGAGAGATAATGTGAGCGCGGAGAGCGGTAGAGAAGTCCGAGAAGAGAGAGCATAGCAGATCAACGCAGCGACGCAGACAAGATATCGAACGGTGGGCGGACCATGTTAAGTTTGGTGGAGTCTGTTAGAAGTCCATGGCGCCTAGGGTCCTAGTGACGCGTTTCGATGTAGAAAGGTGGCGCTACCTTTGCACTTGCGTACCAGCACTTCTAGCCATGGTAAGGGCTTCTTAGGTGGGTCTGAGCCCGAACTTTGCCTTTGACGTTAACCAC